AAGGACTGAATGAAGCAAAGAGAGTGGAGGAAGGGAAGAAAAGAGAAGAAAAGGATGCAAGCAGGCTGGCTGGGGAGGTGGTTCAGTTGGTAAAGCACTTGCTAAACAAGTTGAGGACCAGAGTTCAGCTCCCCAGCACCCACATAAATGCTGGGTGGGCATGGTGGCCACCTGTAACTCTAGCTCTCGGGAGACCCAGGGCTGGCTGGCTATCTAGATTAGCCCTATCTGCAAGCTCCAGGTTCAGTTGAGAGACCCTGCCTCAATGAAAAAGGTAGAGAGTGACTGAGAAAAACTCCAGATGTCAGTGACAGACCTTCACATATACATGTATGCACACATACATGCACATGCGCCCCCCACACGTGTCTCAACACATATGCACATGGACACATACCACACATACAGACACATGCAAAAGAAAAAAAAGAGGGAGGGAGGGAGGAATCATACGCATTAGCTTTAGTTCTTGCTGAGACATTTGTAGGCAACAAGCATTTGGGTCAGATACCAGGGTGAAAGACCTGTTGGCTGTTTGTCGAACAATGCTAAGGAGTTATTGCCCCTCTAATGTTGAGCAGTGACCTTTCTTGCCTTACTGTTTTCCTGAACAGAGTCAGAGGACCTGGCATGGTTGACCTGGCAGTGTCTAATTAGCTGCACAATTAAGTCTCGTGTCCCCGAGTAGCAGGGTCAGATGTCTGACAGGGAGGTTCAGGAGGTCCTGGTGCCTAGTGCTAATGTCTGTCCCACTCTGATTTGCTCATTTGACCTTGAAGATTCTAGACTTCATGGCAAGCTGGCACGAGGCACTCAAGGAGGCACTCAAGGCAGTGGCTCTGGGAGGTGTCATATGTGTTTGGAATAATCAAGGGACTCCATGTAAAGGGTGGAGTCCCTTTGGAAATCTTGTAGCTTAGGAGGGTCCTCTCCTCTCAAACATCTTGTCAGTGGGATCATGTGGTGCCTTTAGTTGGATGGAAGGATCAGGGATCCTGTGATGCTGTGGAGATGAGAGCAAACGGGAGAGAAAAGGGTTGAAATGATGTAAATATAGCACTCAAGTATGAAATCCTCGAAAAATCATGGTGGAAAGGATAATCTCCTTTTGGGGACAGAAAATGCCTGATCCATTTATGGACCCATTTGTATATTTGTTTTTCAAATATTTACCAAGTGTCTGATATTTGCCAGACTCTGTCTTAAAAGACTTCAAATACCATGGGAAATGAGAAACACATGAGACCCTACTAGCTGCTGCCAACCCCACTGGCCTGTAGAGACTTACAGAGAAGCACAAAATCCCATGATGAGGGTGTGGGTGCTGTGTCAGACACATGAAAAGAATCACACAAGTGGGGCTCCAGAAGAACGGCTTTGATCACAAAGGTGGAGGATGCAAGCTGGGATTGTAGCCAGGCTGACAGAGGAAACACAGCCAGGAGGACAGAGGAAGCAGGAAGCTCCTTCCAGAACAGGAGCAGAAAATTCACTGCCCACTCTTTGCACTAAAGTTCAGATGTAGAAACATGGGTTTAGAGAAATTGTAAATTGGAAGTGACTTGGGGGAAGTTAAAATATGTCTTTAAGGGCTGAGGTGCCTTTTTATGCTTGGGTTAGTCCCTTTCTTCATTGCTGTGACAAAACACCTGACAAAAGCAGTGAGGAAGGAAGGTTGTTCTGGCTCACAGTCTGAGGATGTGGGGGAGTCCATGATGGTGGGGAAGGTGTGGTGGGAGGAGCAGGAGGCAGCTGGTCACATAGCATCCACAGTCAGGAAGCAGAGAGATGAGCGCTGTGCTCAGCTCACTTTCTCCTTTCTCATCCGTTTGGGACCCCAGTCCAAGGGATGGTGCTACCCATATTCAGGATGGGTCTTCCCTCCCAAGTTAAACATTTTTGGAAATATCCTTATAAACACAGAGAAATACCCAGAAGTGAGTTGCCATGGTAATTCTACATCCCATCAAGTTGACAATCAAGATTAATCAGAAACATTCCTGATAGTTGATTTTCTTTAAAAAAAAAAAGTGTGTTTTTGTGTGTGTGTGTATGTGTGTGTGTGTGTGTGTGGTGTACATGCAGGTATGCATGCATGTTCACATGTATGTACATACACATACATGTGAATGTGGAGTCCAAGAGTTGACTTCAGGTGTCCTTTATTGCTGTCCACTTTATTTACTGAGGCAGGGTCTCTCAATGAACCGGGAGCTTGCCAATTTGGTTAGTCTAGCTAGCCAGCTTGCCCCAGAGTTCCCCTGCTTGTCTCTTAAGTGCTGGGATTACCGGTGGGCCACCACAGCTTTTTCTTGTGGGTAATGGGGGTCTGAACTCCAGTCCTCACACTTATAGGACAAGCACCTTATCCACACAGCCACCTTCCCAGCTTCGATATTTTGATTGTGAAAAATAATTTCATATTTATTAGGTCATATGCTATGAAATTGCCGTTGGGGCCGATCCCAAACTGACATGTATCCAGAATTTCTGACAGTTTGTTCCAACACAAACTGTAATTGTTTAACTTGAGGCTTGGCCTGCTCTGAGCTTGGTAATGCCACGAGACTGAGCTATTTGGTCATTGCAGTGTTTGTAAACCCAGGTTGCCTATAAATGTCTGTTAGCTTAGCCTAGCTGAAGACTGGGATATAGCCTCTGCCTCTGTGTTTCCAGAATTGGACTGCAACTTCAGTCATCTCTCAAAAGCCAAGAGGGTTGCTGCCTTGTGATTGTTCCTCAGCAATGTGTGTCAAAGCCAGGGCCAGGTACTGTGTCTGAGTTCCAAGCTGTTCCCACTGGTCCTCACAGCTACAGAGAGGCTTCCAGATGCAGGGAAGCCTCATGCTTGGAGAGTGGGCTCATGCAGTCTTTCCAGCAGGTTGATGTGAAGGATATCGATAGCTGGGGTTACTCTCATTGCAGAGTTACAGAGATTATGACATGGCTTCAGCCAACAAGGATGCAGCAAGCCTGGTGTAGCTGTGCCTGGAAAATGGTGCTGCCAGAGACGGCAACTCCAGTTCTTGAGCTCTCCAAATGGCTTCTGTGGTCTGTGTAATTTCTTTGTCTGTATTTCTCTTACAGAAAGTAAGGCAAACTGTAAAAATAACATGATGGATTTTTTTTACCCCCTGAGGGAGGACATGTTCAGTAAAGGAAAAAGAAAAGGTGTGTTTTTGTTCACTGGTGACAGTATAGCCTTTAAAGAAAGTGCTTGTGATGAAAATAAGGTAGTTGTGGGTCTAGATTCTTGATTGGAGCTTCCAGAAGACCCAAAGGACCAAGGCATGGTATGGTCAGTCCATCCCTGTCTCTGGAGGGCTCTCACCAACATGGTTTCCAAGTCTCTTCTGTCTGCCCTCAGTTTCCTCAAAGGAGAGGGCACAGTATCCCCCTGATAGTGGTGGTTCATCTAAGCTGTCTTTGTGTCATTTCTGGAAAGCAGATCCTTCTGTGTGGACTGTGTGGTGGCACCTAAAGTGGTACCAGGTGCAATGTGGATGTGGGGTCAGACTGTGTGTGAAAGGCTCCTATTTCCACCACACTCTGTCTGGTTGGCTCAGTGGAAAGATTCGGTGGCTGATGGTGCCTTGTTAATGCTTTTTCAACCCTTGCTAACCTTCCCTTTAACAATAAACAAAAAGAGAGTTCTTGGGTATAAACCCCTAAAGGTACAATTATCCCTGGATAAAATTTTAAACCATGATATTGTATGAATTTTACTTATTTACTTGCTCAACTTTTATAGATGGCAAGTAACACTGCTTTCCACTTAACAGTGGAGACAATGTGTGTGTGACTTTTCCTGGGGAAATGTGAATAAATGTCTATTCACCTAGATAGAGAAAAACCCAACAAACCAAAGAAAGAATTCCACCCAAGTTCAATTTAGTGAACCAATGAGTTTATTTGGATTACTTACATAAACTTTGGTGAGGCGTTATAGGAACATGGTGAGGGGTTACTCACAGAAGCTTGAGTGAGGGGTTGCTCATGGGAGCATGAGTGAGGGGGTACCTACAAGAGCAGGGTGAGGGATTACTTAAAGGCAGAGGTAGCACCATGCAGACCACTCCAGAGTGAATGATAAATCACAAAAGCTACATCCCTTGAGTTCCCTGCACACCTTGTAGGCAGCTCCACCAAAAGACAGTCTCTTCTCTTAGCAAGGGTTGACTGCTTATATAAGCCTGGGCAGGTACTGATGAGTCTTGTAATTTTCTTAGGTGTTCTTATAACATTTAGTGCATTTTGTGAGCCTCTCTTTCTCCCTCCAGGAGTGTTTTAATCTTCGGGAAATAGCTACGCACATTTATTTCATATATGTATATACGTATATAATGTCTTCAACTGCATATTCATATATATGTATACATATATTTTCGTGTGTGTGTGTGTGTGTGTGTGTGTGTGTGTGTGTTTACTAATGTTCATGGAGACCAGAGAGCAATGTTGGGAGTCTTCAGTTGTTTCCTACTTTATTTTTCATTGTTTTATCTCTTTGGATATTTGAGATAGGATCTCCCCATAGCCCCAGCTGGCCTGGAACTTGATATGTAGACCAAGCTGACCTTGATCTCATGGAGATCCACCTGCCTCTGCCTCCCAAATGCTGAGATTAAAGGCATGTGCCACCATGCTCAGTCTTCTACCTTATTTTTGAAACAGGATTTCCTGCTGGCCCTGGAGGTGTTGATTCACTAGGCTGGCTGGCCAGTAAGCCCCAGGGGTCCTTCTGTCTTCACCTCCCCAGTACTGGGCTTACAGGCATGCACCACTGTGCCAGCATTTTCATGCTTGTGTGGCAAGTACTTAACCAACTGAGCCATCTCCCCGGGTCCTTAACATATTTTCCAAAAATGGGTTGAGTCAAATAAATGCTGGATAATTCACAACCTCATCATGAGCCTAAAGGCAGGGCAGCTGATGGTTGCAGAAGGATGCTGCAAATCTGGTACCCAGGGCCTCTGATGACTGTCCTTGGTTTCTCCCAACAGTGACAGAAAGCCGAGGGATCCTGGAGAGCATCCAGCGCTTCTCACTGCTGCCCACCTACCTCCCCGTGACCTACCATATCAACAACGCTGATGTCTCCTTCTTCCTGAAGGAGGCCAACCAGGACATCATGCGCAACTCCAGCCTGCAGTCGAGGGTGGAGTCCTTTCTAATCTACAAGTCCAAGAGGCTGCCAGTGCTCAACGCCAGCTATGGTCCCTTCTCCATCGAGCAGGTAGTGCCCCAGGACTTGATGCTGCCTTCCAATCCGTTCGGATTCACTAACACGTTCTCCCTTAACTGGAAGCTGAAGGCCCACATCCTGCGGGAAAAGGTCTACCTGAGCCGGCCCAAAGTGCAGGTGCTTTTCCACATCGTGGGCCGAGACTGGGGTGACCACGGGGCGGCCGAGAAGCTACCCTGCCTGCGGGTCTTTGCTTTCCGTGAAACCAGGGAGGTGCGCGGCAGCTGTAGGCTGGACGGGGCCTTAGGGCTGTGTGTGGCAGAGCTGGAGCTGCTGCCCAGCTGGTTCAGTCCCCCGTCGGTTGTGGCCGGGAGGAGGAGGCCCTCGGAGCAGCCAGAGGGAAGTCCTGTGGAACTCTACTACACCGTGCAGTCAGGGGATGAGCGAGGGGACTGTACCAAGGAGGATTGGAAAAGGGGCAGTGGTGCTCGGACAGGCCACAGTGACGCTGATGAGTCGGGGCCCCCCTTGCACAGAATCGGGAGCGTGTTCCTTTATCAGACCCCCAGCAGCCCACCACTGAGGGAGCTGCGTTTAGACAGCAATGTGGCTATTCATTACATCCCCAAGACGGTGAGACAGGGAGGCGTGCTCACCTTCCCAGTCTCTGTTTCCAGGAACTGCTCTGAGGATCGCTTCACACTGAGGTAAGCGGGTCCAGTCTGTCTGTGGCAGCACCAGGTTCCACACAAGACAACTGTGTATGCTTCAGTGTGGAACCACCTGCACACATTCATATACTCTGTTCTCACCATGGTTCTGGGTTGGCAATTTAGTTATGAAAATATTGTTTATGGTGTGTGTGTGTGCGTGTGTGTGTGCACATCAACCTTAACTGTCATTCCTCAGGTGCTGTCCACCTTGGTTTTATTTTGAGACAAAATATAGCATTGGTTTTGGAGTTTGCCAATTAGACCAGGTTGGTTGGCCAGATAGCCCCAGAAAGCCTCCTATCTCTACCCTCCAGCACTGGGAGGTGTGGACCACCACATCTGGCTTTCTACATGAGTTCTGGGATTCGAACTCAGGTTGTCTCCTCATGTTTTCATGGCAAGCTTTTTACTGACTAAACAGTCTCAGCCCACAAGATATACTTTATTTTTTTAGAATTTATTTTTAATTATGTGTATGTGTGTGTATCTAAGTATGGGTACATGCACATGAATTCAGGTGCTCACAAAGGCCAGAAGAGAACATTGGACCTCCTGGAGCTGGAGTTACAGGTGATTGTGAGCCACCTGACTTGGGTGCTGGGAACCAATGTGGTCTTCTTGCAAGTTTTCTTAACTGCTGTGCCATCTCTCCAGCCCCAAGCGAATATATGTTTTACAACAGTTATATTGCTTTGTTTTTTCATTTCTTTTTTTCGGTGATGACTTCCGATGGTTCATCTGTAGATCAGTCATTAGTGGAAAATGCTTGATCACCAGTGTTATTTCAGTGGACTTGTTTGAAAAATTCCAAACTCAGGTCCTCTTGCAAGAGCAGCAGGAGCTCTTAACCACTGAGCCATCTCTCCAGCTCCAGAAAATATTCTTTTTAAAATTAATAGCTCTCCCAGGCTATCATAGAAGAACCAGTTATGCTGTAGCAATCCTTTCTCCATGGCTGAAGGTTTATCATCAATGTTCAGAACGCTGATGTTGCCCCAAAGCTGCCACTTCATAGTCAGATCCTTAAAAACCTCACAGTTGAATATGTGGGTGTGGCAGTTGTCAGGAGGACAGAGGACATGGTTTTACCAACACAGAGTCTATTCCAGACAGGCAAGCTCTAAGTATAAAGTGGAGTCAGCTTCAAAATTATCACGTTGTTTCACCCTGGAAATAGAACGTGGTGTTCAAAAACTCAAAGAGCACAGTGAGTGGAGTTTGCTGTACAGTAGGGGTTTGCAAGTGCCTTATGTAAGGATATAGCAAAGAAAGACATGTAAATTAAGCATTGTGCACCTTAGAAAAGCACTCTGTAATCCTCTATGGAATATAATACATATGAGAATGACTTGCCTTACATGGATCATGGTTTAACCGAAGAGTTTTACTTCATTTTAAACATAGCTAAGTTTGACTCTGACAGCTATGTAGGACAAGCATTGTTGCCCGACCAGAGATGTTCTAACCTTGTGAGAGCTCATCAACCTGATCTGCAGCATAACACATTAACTTTTCTTCTTTTAAACTTATTTTTATTTATGTGTGTATGCCACATAGGTGTGTGTGTGTGTATGTGTTTATGTGTGTATGTGTATGTGTGTGTGTAGTCCAGAAGAGAGTGTTGGATCTCCTGGAGCTGAAGTTACAGGTGGTTATGAACTGTGTAATGTGGGTGCTGGGAATTGAATTCAGGCACTCTGCAAGAGCAGTAAGAGCTCTTAACCACTGAGTCATCTCTCCAGCCCCAACATACTTTGTGTCATGACCCTTGAAAACATGAGTGACTGCGTGTGTGAGATATACTTTACATGTGGGTTTTCAAGTTCATCAGGTACCAGACCTGTGTCTCATGCCCTCTATCCAGCTTTGTAGCTGCTTTTTCTCTATTTTTCTGCTTCTGTTTGTTTTCTTTGGGACTTGGTAAGCTTACAGAGATGACTTGCTCTTTTGCTTTTAGCTTGCGAATTTGAGTTGTGCTGATCCTTAACTAGTATCAGAGATTCCTCTTTCATTTTAACTGAAGCAATAGACATTAGCTGACAGCATTCATCTAATGATTGAGCTTGACTGAGTCCTGGGAGGTACAAACCTTGAGTTTGAGTGCATCTAGTGCATCTGGGGATTAGCCACAATGATGTGGACATGGTAAAAAGACATCTCTTGGGCTGTACCCTCACTGATGCCGCCTTCTACCCCTTTCTGAAACCTTCCTGTGGCACCCCACAGGCACCCCCATGCTCTGCTAGCTGTGTGCTGTGATTTCCAGGTTCAAAAGTCTTACATAATATCTTCTGTGGAGGTGGATGCTTATAGAAATACTTTGCCTAGAAACCATGGGTTCAGAAAAGGGAAGCCCTGCTCTGATTCCATTTTGTCCTCCTTTGGGCCTTCGTGCTTGTCAGTGACCACTTATTGGATTCCTGGGCCCAGAGTACAAAACTACCACCCCCTAAGCTTTGTCTTCAGGAAGGGAAGCCAAAAAGAAATGGTTGTGTGTGCAGTTGTGCATTTCAGGAACGCATGGGTTTTCCCACCATCTGTGGCATGCTAACCATGTCCTCTGGGGTCCCAAGGACAGCTCTGTCATAGCTCTGCAATAGAACCTAGAGGTGTCCCATTTGCTAAACTGCACAGCCCATGGGTTCTAAGCCTTCATAGATTCAGAAACACAGCACATATGTAGGTTTCTTGGCTCCAGTTATAAGTCAAAGATTGGATGATTTCAGAATCAGAGGAAAAGTTTATTTACTCAGAGTCTATAAATTATCAATTTGTATTTTAAATTTTTATTTATTCTTGTGAATTTAATACATATGTAGACTGAAATATGATCACATTTATCCCCTTTGCTCACCCCCAAATGCCCCATATCCTCCACAACATGCCCCCTTCGAACTTCACGTCTTTTTAAAAAAAAAAAAAAAAAAAAAAAAAACTAAGTCGTGTTAATGGCTTCATGTGCAGGGCCTCCACTGGAACATGGGAAGCCTACCATTGGCCACACTCTCAAAAAATAAGGATTCTCCTTCCGGTAACTATCCATTACCAATAACGCATCAGTAAGGAGTGGGCTGTGGAGAGCACCTCCCCCACCTATGCTGGGGTTTTGACTGACTTAATCTGGTGCAGCTGCTGTAAGTTCATGAGTATGGCAGTCATGTCATGTCCAGAAGACAGCATTTCACAGCCCTCCTCCCCAACCTCTGACTGTTACATTCTTTCAATGTCCTCTTTTGTAATGTTCCTTGGTGGTGGGGGGGGGTTAACATAGATGTCCCAAATGAATTTTAAAAGCAGTTTTCCACTTTCCAGAAGTGAAGTAAACACTTCATGAATATGTGATCAGCATGGTAAGATCACATACTCTTGGTTTCCTTGAGTGCATCAGTAGTGTACTTGTTACATACTTAACACACTCGGGTTATATATTGGTCTCATCTATTTATGTACATAGATAGAAGTGGCATTGGTTATTTGTTCAGCCTGTAGTTTGACTTCCTGGAACTAGAAAACAATAAAACTATGTTTCTTTTTTTATTTCTTTCTTTGTGGTTATTTTGAGACCGGGTCTCCCTGTAGCCTCAGCTGGCCTAGAGCTGGCTATGTAGACCAGGCTGGCCTTGAGCTCACAGAGATCCACCTGCCTCAGCCTCCCCAGAGCTGGGATTAGAGGCATACACCACCACATCTGGCTTTTACATATCTTTTTAGATGAAGCCAATTTGTCACTAATTGAGATTCTAGGTATTTAGAATTAATATGGGTCTGCTTTATCAGTCACCTGCTATCAACTACCCTGCAGAGTGCTGCAAATACCCTCCAGTGCTTTCCTCTGAAAGTAAGACTGTTGTTTCCAGTATCTGTGTGGACAGAGCTGACCAGATCCAGAGATAGACTCATTTTCGGCAGGTCAGTGTCAGCCAGGTGTACCTTGCCCCTAGAGGATGCTCAGGTGGAAAGGAGATTCAATAAACTGCTGCTGTCCACAGGAGAGAGCGCATCTAAAGCAGAGGATCAGTGTGTGTGTGTGTGTGTGTGTGTGTGTGTGTGTGTGTGTGTGTATGTATGAGTGCATAAGTATTGGTGTGTTTCCTATCAAGAACAAGAAAAGCCTCAATAAACCAACAGATTGCTTGTTATCTTACAAATTCTATTCAGTCCTGCTGCTCTGGTCTTGAAGCCACTGTCATAGGAAAAAAGAAAAGCGTTTTCATTTCTTGGACATCCAAGAGTCCCTTTTAATCTCAGAAAGTGTTTTCCTTCCTTTGATCAACTGAAGCACCCCACAGCCCTTGGGCCCTTTTTTCTGAGCCCCACCCCCCATCTTATCTCCCTCCCCACAGAGCACTGAATTCAGTACCCTCCTTTGTCTCAGATCACCCAATTACCAAGGAGAGAAAATGGACATGGTGACCCTGTCTCTCCCTGAATACCATCTGTTCCTTTGTGCTTCCCCTGAAGGCTGGATTGCTAAGAAGTTCTGGTCCTCATATTGGATGGGAGGCTTGAGCTAAATATTTGCTCAATGTCAGAGAAACTCACGTAGAAGACAGAGCCCAGAGGTTTGAAAGGCAGAAGGAGGACAAATCCTCTTTGCCTGAAGTCAGGGGCATCTTAAGTTCAGTGAATGAATGGATCTCTCTCTTTTCTTAAAGATTTATTTTTTTTTTAATCATGTATAAGTATGAGTGTATGTGTTTGGGTATGTGCATGTTAGTGCAGGTGCTTGTAGAAGCCAGGGGATCATAGGTCAGAGGCCTCAGACCCCCTGGAGCTGGAGTTACTGGCAGTTGTTAGCTACCTGACTTGGGTTGGGAAATGAATTTGGGTCCTCTGGAAAAGCAGCACATGCCTTAAACCACTAGCTATCTCTCCAACCAGAGTGGATCCCTCTTGCTAATAATGTTCGCCACTGAGTACCACTTACAATTTGCTGAGGGCTCTGCAGTTTTAAATATTAAATGCCCAAGAACTCTTTGAGAGTCTTCTGCCTA